TGCATAGTGAAAGATATGGGTCTAATCTTAAACTTCAGCATGTGGTAAGCCAGACTTTTTCCATCACCGTTTATTAAAGAGACTGTCTTTCTTTCAGCAAAAGTATTTGCTCTTTTGTCAAAAATAAGGTGGCTGAGCATTTGGAGTTGTTTCTGAATCTTCTAATCTGTTCCATTAATCTTCAGTTTTGTATTTTGCCAGTATCATGCTGTTTTTATCACAGTAGCTTTGTAGTATAATTTTAGTGTCAATAAAGGCCCACTGCCTTGCCTTTATTGCCCAGAATTGCTTTTGCTATTCTAGGTCACTTGTGGTTCTAAGTGAAATTTGGGTAATTTTTTTTATCATTGTGTGAGATATGCTATTGGCATTTGATTGGGATTGCATTAAATCTGTATCCCAACGACCATTTTCACTGTCTTGGTTCTTCCTACCCAAGAACAAGGGCATCTTTCCATTTTCTGATATCATCTTCGATCTTCTTTCTCAGCATACTATAGTTTTTAATATAAGGTTCTTTTACTTTCTTTGTTAGATTGATTTCTAAGTATTTCATTTTTTGAATGATATTGTCAAGAGCACTGTTGCCTTAATTTCTCTCTCAGGGAGTTAGTTGTTTGTGTACAGGAATGTTACTGATTTTAGAGTGTTTCCTTTGTATCTAGCCACCCTAACAAATTTGCTTATTAAATCTAGAAGTCTTTTGGTGGAGTTTTTGGAATCTTGTACATAAAGTATCATGTCATCCACAAATAATGATAAGGTCACTTCTTCCTTTCCTATCCTTATTCTTTTTAACTCTCTCTTGTCTAATTGCTCTGGCTAATGTTTCCAAAACCATTTTGAAAAAGACTGGTGATCATGGACATCCTCGTCTTGTTCCTGATTTTAGAGAAAGTTTTCAGCTTTTGTCTATTTGTATGATGTTGGCTACTGGTTTGTCATAGATGCCTTTTATCAGATTGAAATAAAGTTCATCTATTCCAATAGCAAGGAGACAGTTTCAAAACAGGTTAGTAGGACAGTTACAATAATTAACACATTGCACATTGTTGTGCTCGCTTTGGCTGCACATATGCTAAAACTGGAACAATACGGAGAAGATTAGCATGGCCCCTGCACAAGGATGACACGCATATTGTTGTCTTCATAGTAGTTGTTCATAGTACAAGATGCAGACATGATGTCTTGTCTAAACATATGCATCTTATTTGTAGAACCTCTTTTTTTACTTTACAACTTGTTTGTAAGGTGCTGTAATTTTTGCTGATTATATTGTATATTACTGTAGTTTTATATTGCTGTATATTGTAATGTTGCATATAGGAGTTATGCAATCACATGCTGTACTGGCCCCACCTGTAGGTGTACTGAACTGGTGACTGTCTTCCCAGCATACCTATAATCCTGGCACTGGGGAGGCTGAAAACAGGAGGATCACTACAAGTCCAAGCTGCATAGTGAGACCCTTCACAAAATACATCTTTAAAAAAAGAGTTATACAAATAAAAGATCACCTATTCTAATTTTCTATAGAGTTTTTGTCATGAATGCATGTTGGACTTTTTTAAGTGCTTTTTCTGCATCTATTGAGATGCTCATAAGACTTTTGTCTTTGGCTTTGTTAATATGATGTAGTGTATTTGTTGATTTGTGTCTATTGAACCATCCCTGCATTCCTTGGTATGGTGTTTAATCTGCTTCATGATCTGCTTCATTCTGTTGAGACCAGTATCTTCTTGAGGATTTTTGCATTTATGTTCATCAGGGAGATTGGGCTGTAGTTCTCCTTTCTGTTTGGATTCTTCTCTGGTATTGATATCAGGGTAATCCTTATTTCCAGGAATGAATTTGAGAGTATTACTTCCCTTTCAGTGTCATTAAAGATTTTGAGAAGTAGTTGAAGAAGATTTTGAGAGTTTGAGTAGTAGGTCTTTTCTAAATTTCTTGTAAAATTCAACAGTGAGTGTGAGGGCCTGGGCTTTTCTCTGTTGGCAGGTTTTTAATGATATCTTCAATTTCATTGACTGACATTAATTTGTCTAGAATTTTTATATCTTCTTGATTCAGCTTTGGTAATTCTTATGTATCTAGGAAGCTGTTCATTTATTCCGAGTTTTCCATTTTATTGGAATACAGCTTCTTGAGGTAGATATTGGTGATCTTCTGGATTTCTGCAGAATCTATTGTGATTTCATTCTTTTCATTCATAATGGCATGGATTTGAGTCTTTCCTTTCTTTCTTTTTTACAAATAAGTTTGGCTAAGGGCTTTTTGACTTCATTTAATCTTTCAAGGAACTTTAACTCATTGAGTCTTCATATTGTTTTCTTAGTGTCTATTGCGTTCATTTCTGCACTGATATTTATGATTTTTTTCCTTGTACAAGCTTTGGACTTGACTTGCTCTAGCAGCTTGAGGGTCACCATTAGGCTCTTTATTTGAAGTCACTCTGTTTTTCTGACTCTACCAAGATTAAGAACCATTACCCTCTTGCTGAATCTGAACATCTCAGAGTTTTTCGAAAGGAGTAGCCTCCTTCTTTCTTTTTAATAATGCCACACCTCTGGTAGGTAGACTGTGTGCTGCTCTCCTGCAGGTGGAAGGAAGCTGAGTCTTGATGCGTGCTTGTTCTTGTCACCCCAAAACAGCCAGGATGACTATTTAACCACTACCAGAAAGCACAAGCGAGCACCTGCTTTGCCAGTGCTGCACCAACTGTTTCTGCCCCACTGCTCTACCTGTTGAGGACTCAGTGTTTGGTAGCACCACAGCAAGCCCTGCTTGTGCAATGCCCTGACCGTGTGGTCTGGTGCCCCGGATCTGGAGCTGAGGGTCCCCTGAGAGCAAGGAGGGCAGGTGGTGATGACAGGGGACCCTCAGGAATGGCATGAGCTGGAGAGTGCCACCTGCTTCTTGGGTGCATGGTGTAGGTCGAGTCTTACTTAAGCCCTTGGATTAAATAGATTTTGATGACAAGTTTAAAGAGAGAAATCTGAAGGGCCGCCAACCTTGCAGATTCTTTCCAAAAGTATATTTCATAGTTGGACTCACTGTATCCTGACATTTATGTGGTTTTCTGGTTTTTGATTTTTTGAGACAGGGCTTTGCTTGCAGCCCAGGCTGCCCTTGAGCTAACTTATGTAGCTGAGGCTGGCCTCAAACTCCCAGCAATTCTTAGCCCCTTGAGCTCAGGGATGACAGGTATGTACCACCATGCCTGGCCTCCTGATATTTATTTATTCATAATAGAGAAGGGCCTACAGGGTGTTCAGGATCTCACTACTAGATCAGACTTGTAGTGATCTGCCTGTTTACAGCCCCCCAAGATCTGGGATTACAGGGGCATGCCACCACACCCAGTCTCAATCACCAGGGCTGGCACAGCAGGCCTGGGGTGAACCCCTGGCCTCTGAGCCTGCTTGCAGGCACTTTAATCCACTGAGCTATTTGGCCAGCCCTCTGTAAGCTATTTTTTTGGTGAGTTTATACACAAACTAAAGCTGCTTTAGAGCTATAAATTGGGCTTCTTTGCATATTAGCAAGTTACAATCATTGGCGCGTGTGCTAGATGGTGGATTTATTTATGGGACATCCATTCCTTTTGAGGCACTGTGTAGGCACCAGACCTCTGAGCAGAGAGCAAAACAGATAGATGAAAACCCCCAGCTCTGCAGAAGTTACCTTCTAGTGAGCATTTTCCTGTTTATTTTGAACTCTGGCAATCACATGACTCGGAAACCGTAGGGGCTGGGCATTAGGCGATTTCCATACAGATCTTTAATTTACCAGCCCCGGGCAGCAAGGGCCCCTCTGCACTGTTTGATGTCTCCCCATTCCGCCCAGCACCAATGGCCTTGCTCCTTCCAGCGAGGGCTGCCCTTCCCTCATAGCCCCAGGGAAAGGCTGGGCAGCTCACTGCCACAGGTGCCAGAGCATGAAGGACATCACCCGACCCTGCCAGCCTGCAGAAGGTCAGCTACTGTGCTTGCCCGGAAATGTCAGCATCTCCAAGCTGTCCACCAGAGAGAAGCTTAAAGGTGAAGGGTCCCTGTATAGAGGCCAGGGAAGAATTAGCTTCCTGGGTGGCCGCCTCTAGCCTGCACATGGAGGCCCCTTCACCTAGCCTGTGCGACCTCCTCTCCCAAGGCCCAGCTCAAAACCTGCCAGCCTATCCAGAACACAAGTGGAGACAATATCACGGATATTCTTAATATCTGAGATTGGGGGTCCTGCAAGGATGGTGGCAGCGAAGGTAGAGTAGGACATGCCCCCACCGGGGGGCTACGGCCCCGTGGCCTACAGGCAGAACCTGCCGCTCCGAGGGCTGTTGGGCTACAGCACGTCCGCCGTGGGCATCGGGACCTTGCTCTATGGGTACAGAAGCATGATGAAGTGAAATCGTGAGTACAGACGCCTGCAGATCGAGGAAATGGAGGCCCGAATTGCGATGATGCCACTGTTCCAGGCCGAGCAGGACCGCGGGCCTGCAGATGATGCGCGAGAACCTGGAGGAGGAAGCCATCATCATGAAGAACGTGCTGGGTTGGAAGGTGGGCGAGTCCACGTTCCACACCACGGGTGCCCCCAGGCATCGGTGAGCTGTGGGTGCTCCGCACACCGTGGGAGATCTTCAACACCAGCTACGGCTTCGTGTGGTTCTCCGTGTAGGGCGCCCGCACAGGGAATAAACACGCACGCCCTCCACCCCCACAATATATGTATCTGAGATTGATCATTTGAGCCCTAGAATGAGCCAAGCCAGACACCTTGTCCTTGGTGTGGCTTGAGGCGCAATGACCTCCCCCTAGAACTGCGCGGCCGATAAGCTCAATCTTCATGACTACAGCTGCTTGATCATCCTGGGACTCCGGCCTCCTTCTGCAACTCCGTGTATCTCAGCATCTTTTTCTAACCGCACATAAATAAGAATTCACACGCTGCTTCTATCAAACTTAGAAAAGAAATACAAATAAAAAGAAAGACAAAAAATACTTGCAGACAGTCACAGTGGATATTTGGGAGTGTGTCTTTAAAGGTATGCGTGTCGCATGCATGTATGTATGCGTGGAAGGACAGATGGACAGACAGCGCTACCGTCTGAGGGTGTCCGCTCCAGGTTCGCAGGCTGAAACTTTGCCAACATGACAGTAGTAAGAGGCGGCGCCCTTGGGAGGTGATTTGGCCATGCGGGCCCTGCTTTATTGAACGAGACTAATGATCTTATAAAGGAGGTTTGGGGGCGCCGCGCCTTCCGCCCTCCACGTGAGGCACAGCTGGTAGTGCCACCCACGAAGCCGAGAAGCCTTCGCCAGACAATGAATCTGCTGGTGCCTTGATCTCGGCTGCCCGGCCTCCAGAAGCAATAAATTTCGGTTGTTTATGACTTACCCAGTTAAAAGAATCGTGTTATAGCAGCCCTAATGGATTTGGGCAGATAGCTAGCTACGCCATAAAGATGCAAAATGGGATCGCCCCACAGCACACAGTTGGTCATAAACTTTCCCACTCAGGATCCGTCCGAGAACACCTTGCAATGTTCCTGCCGATCTTTCTACAGCGAAGGGCGCACGCCTGCAGGGCTCTACACCGCGGAATATATTGCGGGGCACACCGCGGAATACACGGCAGGGTACACCGAGGTGGCAGATTGAGCCAGATTCCTTTTCAGAGCCAGGTGGAGGCAAGGATTCAGGGCGGCTTTACCCAAAAAGATAGATTGATTTAAGCCAAGAGCCCTTTAATTTAATTTTGTTCCCAATTTTCATGGGACAAAAAAGGAAGACGCCGCTGCTCATTACTCACTGACGTTTGTTCCTTGGAAGGGCTTCATTTTCCCACTCAGGGAGACCTCCTTGGATCTTGGATCCGGGGAGGTGGACACCTTTGAAAATCCACCACTCTGCCCATTGCAGCACGGTGACTTGGCCAGCAGTGGAAGGCCACACAGTCACTGAGGACGGAAGAGGCTGTGTCCTTCCTGATTCTTTTTTTTTTTTTTTTACTATGATATTCTTTCTCCTTGAGGAAACAGCCTCTCTCTCTCTCTCTCTCTCTCTCTCTCTCTCTCTCTCTCTCCCTTGCACTTATTCTACTGAGCCATCTCCCCAGCCCCAAAAGCATCTCTTCTAATAAGTACAAATCCTTTATTTTATTTTATTTATTTATTTATTTTTTTTTTGGCGGAACCGGGGATTGAACTCAGATCCTTGAGTTTGCCAGTCAAGTGCTTATCCTACTGAGCCATCTCCCCGGCCCCAAAATCCTTTATTTTATTTTCCCTTCACAAAGAGCCTGACCTCCACCATTGCTGCAGAGTGCTTGTGTTTTGTTTAAATCTTTTCCCAAATGCAAATCTGAAAGAGCACGTTCGGAATGAAAAGGGAAGCTTGGACTTGTTTTTAAAATTCTGTTAAAAGAGAAGAGTTTTTGAACAATCAGGGTATTGATAAAATCACATGTCTGAGGTGAAATGCACGCTCATCCTCCCTGCTCAGGCTTCCTGTTTTGGTTAACACGTTTCAGCTGGCTTTGCTGGTGCTTCCACTGCTTGTGTCCACCCGCCCATCTGGACCGAGTGCCGGCATTGTCTGGGGACCTTCAGCCCCCGAGTCCTGGCAGAGCCTGGAGTCAGTGCCTGTTCTTTTCAAGTGTCAGCATGCTAGCTAGCCACTACCTAGAACTGGTGACACGGGATCCTGCACATCCCTGGGGCTTTAGTAGATCCAAGATAGTTATTGTTCTGGGCCACTGGCTCTTATCCTATTGCCCATTAGACACTAGGGAAATTTTGGAAAGAAGGGAAGCCAGCCTATGCCCAGAAATATGGCTCTAGGGCATCTTCAGTGGGTGGGGACATTGAGTCCTCACCCTGTGGCCTGCTGTGCTTTTCTCAATGCCAAGGCAGAGATGAGAGTCCTGCTTCTAGACAGCTCTCCGTGGACTTCCATTTTGGTGTAAGCTACACAGTACTAGCATTCACTAATAGCTGCCACATATTTCTTTGAAAGTGGATAGAGACTAAATGACAAACTCCTTTAATTCATCACAGGTAGACATAAAAACCTAAAGATGGTTAGGTATCGTGGAATTTCTATGGGCCTAAGGGGGAAATGTGCTGGGTTGACTGACAGGGTCCAAAGACAGCTGGATTGTTCGGCCTCAACCCTACCATGACCAACTAGCAAACTCCTATTCATCTTTCAGACTCCAGCTCAGGCATCACTGCTTTCAGGAGATTTTCTCCAAACCCATCTCTCCCATGAGCCCAGAAGAACGAATCCCCCGTGACACTGGGAATGGGGAGCTTCTGGAGCCTCCTCAGAAGCTGGGCTGCTTGCAGCCTGAGGAACAGCAGGGGGGCAAAAGAAACACCTCTGAATGATTGCTAGGAGTGCTACATGGGCTGTGGGAAAGGTGCTCGCTGCACTTTGGCTTTTTTCAGTTTTGCAGTGTTGGGGTTCAAACCCAGGCTTTCACCTGAGCTGCATCCCCAGCCGTCCCCTTCCTATTTATTTATTTAGAGATAGAATCACTAAGTTACTAAGTTGCTTACTGCTTGAATTTGCCACTTTTGTGCCTCAGCCTCCCCAAATGCTGGGATTCCAGGTGGGCTGTCCTCTGAGACCAATGGAGGCAGG